GTAGCATGTGGTGGCAACTTCACATCTCTGGTTACATGCATGTGTCTCTGAGGGTGAGCAGCAACCCGGGGGCCTGTCTGCACCAGGACAGGGTCCCCAGGACCTGCTGCATGGCAACATTTGACCTACTTCTAAGGCTCTGGGTCTGGCCCAGGCCGCGTTCTCGACTCCTCCGGGAAGTGTGGGACTACGTCCCAGCCCAGAGGCTGTGGGCCAGGAGAGGCGGGCTGGGGCGGGCCAGGGCAGCCTGCGGAGCCTGCGGCCTGGGGTACAAGGGCACGTGGGTGCCTGACCCTCATTCCCTGCCTCTGGCTCTGGGGCCCACGGGATAACCAGGCCTCCCCGCTCTCCCCCTCCCTCCACGTGTCACCATACTCTAAACTCCTCAAAGTGGCTCTGATGGGACAAGGGACATTCCTGAACACTACCAGGGATGTCTGCCAAGCACCCACCACCGTTGTTGGCCAAGAGTTTATTCTGTCTCTTGCCCCACCCTTGTCCACACGGGGCAACAGGCAGGGCCATTCTGGAAAGCCACCAGCCCTGTCCTGGGTTCTGGGTCTTTTTTTTTTTTTTTTTTTTGGTACCAGGAATTGAACACAGAGGTGCTGCACTGAGTCACATCATTCCAATCCTTTTCGGAAAAAAAAAAAAAAAAAAAACTATTTAGAGACAGGGTCTTTCTAAGTTGCTTAGGGCCTCCTAAGTTGTTAAGGCTTGCTTTGAATTTGCAATCCTCCTGCCTCAGACTCTCCAGCTGCTGGGATTACAGGCGTGCATGTCTAGGGTTTTGTTTGGGGTTACAGTCCTAGAGTTCAAAGTTCTAGGTCCTGGATCTGGAGACCTGGATCTAGGGTCTAGGTTTAGAATCCTGGGTCCAGACTGGGCCCAGTAGTATCAGCCTGTGATCCCAATGACTTTGGAGGCTGAGGCAGGTGGAGTGTAAATTTGACACCAATCTGGGCAATTAAAGGAGACTCTGTCTCAAAATTGAAAAAAAAAATAACTGGGGTTGTAGCTCAGTGGTAGAGTGCCACTAGACTCAATCCCCAGCACTGCAAGAAAAAAAAGAAAAAAGAAAAAAAAGAAATCCTGGGCCCTGGGGTGTCTGGGCTCTGGGGTCTAGACTATGGATTCAGAGTGCTCAGAGTCTAGTCCTGGTCTCTGGATTTTGGGTTCCAAATGTAGGGTTCAGATTGTGAGGTCTGAGTCTGGGGACAGTGTTGGGGCTTCCAGATTCCAGGTTTGGGGTTCAGAAACTAAAGAGCAGTTCCCATCCCTTCTACGCCCCCTGCTGGCCGGCCATTATGGTCAAGTTTCTGCTTATGTTAGTGTGTGTGTGGGGGGTCACCCTTACTCCTTTCAGGCTGTTAAGGAGTCTCAGCGGTGGATGGGAGAGTGGCATAAGGAAGAAACGTGAATTGGGGTGGGCAGGAGGAGATGGCTGGAGGTCTTGGGGGCAACTGCTGTCTGCATTCCTGTCAGTTGTTTGGCAGATTCCATTTCCCCTCACCCTACTGCAAAGGTAGGTTTGGGAAAGGTTTTTTTTTTTTTTTTTTTTTTTTTTTTTTTTTTTTTTTTTTT